CGAGCTCATATCTCCCCATTGCAACTGCGCCACTATGCCGCACAGCCAGCCATCTGTCTATTCATCTATCTACGACATAGTCGGTCTACCTGTGCCAGTGCCAGAGCCAGAGCCCAGCTCGTTTGTTTGTATCTTTTGCTGATTTAACGCTTTAGTTCGTTGAATTTTATTGCATGAGCGTAACTAACGTTTTAGTGAGGCGCTCCGTGGCCGGCAGAGGAATGCTTAGGCGCAGCGCGGGCAGGTGGTCGGTGGACCACTCAACGACGCAAGTACATACATAGACACACATATTGGCGATCGTGTGGTGGCGTGCTGGCTGGCGTGTAGGTACCCTTTTAGCTTTCGACTTACTTAAGTGGAAAGTTCTTAAGCGCATTTTCAGATTGGCCATACTCCCGCTTAAAGAAGTCGATTTGCAGCCGCCAAGGTTGGCATGACTGGAGCGAGCGCCGCTATGATTCACTGGTTCGCTACGAATGTTAAGCGTACGTTGTATTGTAATTGTATTTTTGCGAAATTATTATTGTTGCTTATGAGTTTTTCGCGAGCTATGGATGAACGGTCTGCCGCGCTCTAAAGCTAAGAGCAATTGCAAAAGATGAGCAAAGTTTTAAACGAAATTAAAATGATGTCGAGTTAAAACACCTGTTTCACATTCCCATCCGTTCATTACGTGAATATTAATTAATAGATGGTACAATGAGAACTCAATTCTTTTCTTCAAATCGCTCGTCTATCGGTTCGCCGACGTTTTGTTATTCTCAACAAAAGTTAACCTTTGCTCGGCGGTCGAATAGGTGTAATTCCACGTGGTCTTCTCAATACCAATATGTATGTAAAAAGTTCGTAGTTTTTCTGAGATTTCTAAAAATTTTCTGCCTGATTGGCTCTGAAATTGTGGCTCATGCCGAATGTGTGGTTGGAAGGCCAACCAGACCAAACCGAGACTGGGTAGAATCATCTGTTCCAGTTATAATGAGGCAATGAGTTTCGCCTTATAAAGCTTTCGAGTACGGTCATGCCAGAACAACAACAAAAACAATAAGGCAAACTGTTATTTACTTCAAATAACATTTCGCCAAACTGTGTGATGGGCAATGTTGTTGCCACATGTTGCATGTGCTGCTTGGCGCATCGGCTATTGTTGCTGTTGCAACAGTATCTATTTATACATATGTATGTAGTTGCGGTCGTGGTGTTACTATTGTTGTAGTTACAACTATCGCACATCTTTCATGGCTAAGTACCTGCGGCAAATTTATTCCCTCACTAACTTGACGTTAAATTAGCAAAGTTCATGCTCGTTCATATGCTATCACAACATTTTCCACACTTCCATTTCTCGAGCACGGGCAGAGAAAGGTAGAGGGGTTTACACGAGCAGTCGTCGTATGGATATGTATGTATGTATGTGCGCCAATGTTGATCTCTGCTTTGCTCGATAACTATGGTGGGCGATTTGATGCGAGGTGGTTCTCGTGAAATCCGAGCGACGAAGAAGGCTGAGAAAAGCTACCGATTTTAGAGCAAACATTGGTTTAAATCAGCGATGGCCAGAAAGAGCTTTTACTCAGAACCCGCCTATACAAAATGTATAAAAAGCTTAAAAGCGCTTTGCCCGCGGGCAAGGCAGCGCCCATAACCGCTTTAGATAAGGCTCAAATTCAGTGAAAGCTCCTCTGAGTAACTTACATATACCCGAATCAACCCTGCTTTCAGAGTAATCTGAATAGTAGAGAAATATTAAAGAATTCGTAAAGACATTATTACGAAGTTTAGGCAGAAAATCGGTAAAGAAATCAAAATATAGCTGTGATGTGAAGTTTTTTCAGAACTTTCTTGAAGAAAAATACAGCGATTTTTTTACGAGTTGGAGTACACCACTGAATATGATTTCCTTTCGTTACAGAATTCGGAACACACTCCCAATACTCTTAAAGGTTTGGAGAAGGGGAAGTGAAAGCTCGCTAATGTTTTTTTTTACCCGGCAAGTAGATAACTAAGCGAAGTTAAAAGTATTCAAAAATTCCTGAATTCTTGTAAAGCACAATTGAAGTGCAGAAGTTTGAAAAGCTCTATCAAAAAAAAAAATGTAAGTTCTTTAGGGCCGGTTGTTTAATGTCTGGCTATCCCGAATCGGAGGTATGTAGAAGTTCCGGTTAAATACAACGACTGCTTTATCGATCACATGTTTAATGCATGATATCGAAAATGTCGATAATTATGGTTAACTGGAGGTTAGTGATAACCGGACATTAAACATTTCCATTCCTAAGTTTTCTCTAAAAGTGTGTGTTTTAGACTTCTTCTTTTAGCACTTAGTACTAACTCTTCCAAAACTACACTTTTTATGTGGTTTAAATTAATTTGATGGCCTCACACCATTTTCCCACTGATTAATCTGTGTATATTTACATACATACATATGTATATGTATAAGTATACCCATCGACTTAGCAAACACTGCTATGCCGACCGTTAAGACATTTTCTATTCGGGTTTCATGTCAGTCACTTAGTTAGTTGCCTCTAGCTGTTGCCTTAATCTCGACGGCTAATTACTTGGGCTGCTGTTTATTAGACTTTTGTGGCAATTACTCATATCAAACTCAATGTTGAGCTGTGCATGCCAGCGTGCGTGCCGGTGTGGGTGTGCATACATAGTATATGTACATATGTATGTATGTATGGGGATGGAGGTGTGAGCCCGCGTGCATGTATCGCTGCTCCGATTATTATTTGTAATATTTAATTTCTGCAGGGCTATCAATTTTACTGGGGCGTTGTAGGTAGTGGCGCAGGCGCAGGCGCATGTGTAGTGTGCTTGCAACGCGTGCGCGCTGCACCGTTGCTTCTGCCGTTTTGTTGTTATTCTGCTTCAAGCACCGCTATGCATTTGCCAGACTGCTTCAAGTTGGCTTCTTGCCGCGCTGTGGTTGTTAAGTTTTTTGTTTGAGTTGTTGCTGTGCGCTAATTACCAGCGACTGGCTCTAGCTGCACTTGTCTGTTTAGCTTTTAATTGTGGCAACATCATTATCAGCCACCATTAGGCACTTAACATGGTTCCCCAGTGCAACTTAGCCGCATTCGTTTGGCACCAGCATCGACATCAAATATTGTGCCTGTGCTCTTGCTGTGGTTTTTTTATTTTATTTCTATTTTTTATTTTTTGAAATTCTTGTAATTATTACGCCAGCGACGAAGCGTGTTATTACCGGCTTTGAAGTGTTTTGTAGTTCACGCTGCTCGTTGACCGAAAAACTTGCTAATACTCGTACATCATTCTGCTAAGTATAAGTGCATACACACACACACACACACACATTCGCGCGCATTCAGCTTGCGTTGGGCGGAAAATTTGCAAAACTACCGAAGATTATACTATCTGCTTATAAAAAAAAACCTCTAACTAAATGATAATTCGGTTTAATGAACGAAAATAACGGGACTCTTTATTTATTTTTGTTGGAACTTTGATAAAATGCTGGCCCATATGATCGGATATAGAATTCGTTGCAATGCTTAGTTAGGAATTCTTAGTCTGAGTCTAGGTTAAGAAATTCTGGGAAGGCGATTTTGAGACAATAACTCAGTTTGTTTCCAACAGGAAGTTTATTAAGTCAAAATCCTCAAAAACGGGTGCCTAATTTCGGCCCAGATTTTTGTTTACTAGAGCATTGATCAAGAAGGTTCCGAAAATCTTTATTTGCACCTATTTGCTTGTACAAACCTCAAGAAGGCCTGAATTATGACGCATTTTCCTTAAGATGCAAAAGCCCAGAGCGTTCTTCCATCGGATGATGTGTTCAAGGTTTTCAAGAAGCGCGTATGCTTACCATATCATTTCCGATCGCTTGTTGACGAACTCGCAAATTACACAGACTGGCAAGAATATCATTTATAGGAAGGCTCGACTATGTATCTTAAACTAGTTGTTTGATAAAATAAGTTTATAGCAAAACAATATTTAAAAAAAAAAGTTTTCAAATTATGAATTAAATCCGGGTTTCTCAAAAATTTCAATTCCTGCGTCACCTATAGGCAAACTTTTTTGTAGAGTTATCTCTTTTCATGTAAGTAATATGTATATATTCCAAACATAGATATATTAAATCCAAACATGGATGCGGGTTTTCAAATTATTCCGATCACCGCGTGTTCTACTTGCTAAATTTTTGTAAGGTTATTTCCTTCAATGTTGGTGAAATACGATTCAAATATGAACCAAAAAGGACTGTAAATTCGGAGTTTTCGAATATCTCGAGTCCTGCACCACCTAGCGAATTAATTCCTCTTTCATATTGCATTGTCATCGGGTTCTGTGCTAGTTTTGAAATTTCAAGGCTATAGCTCATCGGCAAGTTGCTTAAAAATTTGTTGCAAGATATGACCCGACTAAACATACTTATGTACATACATACATAGATACCTTCAAAGCAAGTTAAATCAAAGCTTGTAGAAAGACTAATAATTGCCTTCACCCCTATTGAATACTGTGAAAGCGATAGGGTTATCAAACCAAGTCTCCTAGTTAAATCCTTCGGCAGGACAAACTAATTTTATATGGCTGATTGATATAGGCGGCTCAGCAAATAAGAAAATATACATACATCATTTATAATCTGATTCTTTTAGGAATATGGGGCCAAACTAAAAAATACAGATATTTGTAAACATAAAAGGGATGTTTTTTGGGAATCATAGATTGTGCCATCTACCAAAATTTGCCGAATAAAGAAGCAAAAATTGTTTCTAAAAACTCTAACAATTTCTCAGCTTTATGGCTACTTGCATATCTGTTGATTGCTTTATGCTCATAACTGCTGCAGTTTGTCGAGACGACTTCCATTATTTTATGCCGTGCTTTGTTGTTGCTTATCTTCTTCTCGCCTTATGACAATCTTATGTAGCTGCCGTCTTTGCCTTTTTATTGAACCGATTTTGTTTATTGTTGTGAGTATTTTATTATTGTCAACAAAGCACGACCACTAACAACAACGGCAGCCAGCTCCTCTCAACAATTACCAAAAGTAGGTGAATCTGTCTGACTGGGTGACTGGGTGACTGGCCGCCTGCCACAAGCAAGCAAGCGGTGCGGAACAGCAGCCGTTGCAGACTCCAAATGTGGCATCATCTGCAGCACTCCGAAAAATTGGAGCTGCCAGCAACAATCGGTGCCATTAAATTTTAATTGTACGAAATTTTAATTGTCACTTCGTTGCTTTGCCAATTGAGTGCAGCAGAGGCACACTTGTCAATTTACGATAATTTGTTGCTGTCTGTACTCTTAACTGCTTTCATAAAAGCTGATATTTGCGCGTTTTGTATTTAAGTAACTTTTTTACAGCAATCTTCACCGTTGTTGTTGTTGTTGTTGTTGTTGGCGCTGTGCTCGTTTGTAGCTATTATAACTGCTGTTCATGCCTTTTTTCGTATTTGATTTTATTGTATTTGTTATTGGTGTTACTGGGGTGCGCTGCTAATCATAAATAAATGTTTTCTTGGCGCGTTGGACGCCTTGGCTCGCCTGCCTTCGGTGCGCTTCGCCACGGCCGCGCACTCTGCCGTGCTCTGTTGTTGTCGTTATTGTTGTTGTGGCAGCGCGCGTAATTTCATGCTTTAATTTGTGCGGCGAAGCATTGCAGGCGTTGTTGCATGCGCGCATGCGCGTGCTAAAATATCTGCACTTTCATTAGCGGATCACGGAACGCGGCCCATGGGCCACAAGTACACGTTGCCCGCCGAATGCCCCTCGAAGCCCCCGCAGGCGCCGCGTGCCGTTGCCAAGCCAAGCTCAAAGCAAAGCAGCGCGCCGTTGTGGCATACTCGTGCCGCCCAGGGCCATTACACGCGGTTCTCATGTGCATGGCATGTGTGTGTGTGAGTGCATGTGCAAGTAATCTTCCAGTATCTAAGCTTCATTAATGGAGCTTGTTATAAAAATTCTTCGAAATAAATGCACACAAACGCACGCATGGCATACTGGTATTTGCACAGCTAGTAAATTTAGTTTGAGGAAGTTCAATTAGTTGTTGCGGCAGAACCTTACGTGTTAATTGCTGGCGCGCGGTGCGGCGACAAGAACGCAGCGCACTGCGGAAGAGTTACTCATGGGTTACCGACACTTTTGAGTATTTCCGCAATGCTATTTAACTGTTAAAAAAAAGTGTATCATAAAGTGCTTTTTGCAATTAAAAATAATTATTATTTCAAAACTGACTTTATTTAATTAATAATGGAACCAAAAGGCGGTCAAAAATTGTCAAAAAAAAAAAAGAATTTGGCGCGAATTTTCAAGCAGCCGTGATGCCGCTAATAGAAATGAGCAAAACTCAGATGAATGCGCCGTGGAGTTTTTTGAAGAATGAAAGCAGCAAAGCAAAAGCCAAAATATATTTGCTTCCACCATTATTTGGCTACTCAGCAACGCTGCTGCATCGCCGACGTTCTGCGGGCTTCATCCAAAGCGACCCAGCCTTATCAGCGGCTGATGATCAGCAGCGCCGCTCTTTCGCTTGCAAGCATTTTCAACAGCTTTAGTCCACGCCACTGATCTTTTTATGTTGCTGCTGTTGAGATGTTGCTTTGTCTGTCGGCGCGCGACAGCTTAAATAAACAAATTATAAGGAAATCGCAGCCGATCGTTGTCAGCAATGTCCGGCGTCCTTTCTCGACCTGTTGTGGCTTGTAAAGCTTTCGTAGTTAATATCGCAATGCCCTTCACATTTGGACAAGTTTATTTGTCGCTCTGAGTGATTTTGACAGTTTTATGGCCTCTGCGCGCCATGCTCCGACACACGGTTGGTGGTGGTGATGCAACATGCAACATACATATGTATGTACCTCTGTGGCCATTGTCAGCAGCAACTCGGTGGAAATAACACTTTAACACTTTCCTGTTAACTGCCCGGGTGGTTGACATTAATTGTGGCCAAAATTATCTGCCGATGTACTCATTCGTGGAAGCAAGCTGTAGCGTTAACAATAAAGCGAGTAGACAACATTAAGTGCAACAATGCAACAAACAAGTATCTAATTCTCCCACTCTGCGCAATATGTACGTCTGGAATTATGTCAACAGCAGTAAAACGCTGAAAACGCTTTCCAAGCTGTATCCGTTTAAACATTTACAGTTTTAAAGCGAAACGGCCAGTGAATTACTCTAAACTTGAAACTTCCACAATCGCACTTGCCCCTTGTCCCGCCGCTCCATTGCCGCTTCAAACCATGTTAATGGGCAACTTTATGTACACGTTTCTTGGCTTAACGCCTCCCATAAAATTACCTTTAATGGGATTCAATTAACCAAATGTATCTCACAGATACATTTCAGTCCGGGTACTCGGTTAGCTGACTGACTAGTCGCATGGCTCAGCCAGCCAACCACAACCACTCGCTGCGAGCCATCGTTGACTGGCGCATAGAATTTGCGCGCGTTTATGTTTTTGTGTTTCAATGTTGTTGTCCGATTGAATGTTTCGTGTTGCGCCTGCGCATCAATGTTGCAACATGGCTACACGAATTTACTGTTAAGTGCAGCAACAAACAAAGCGCATTTAGTACGTCGCGAATTGGCGTCTATTGCCACTCAAGTAGTTGAATAGGTATGTTGATGTTGATGCCTGGCGGTCGCCTGCCATTTCGGGTGGCTCTTCATCCTCCTCCGCCCTCGACTGGGCAACTGGTTAAGTGTGCTTAATTTTGTGTCGCCGCGCGTATCTAAACATGTGTATCATGCGGACCTCAGGCGACACCGACGACAACTGACGGCAATGGGCAGGAGCAGCAACAGCAATGCAATTTTCGCTTTTTCTCAAAAGGATTTCATCTAAGCACGTTTTCGTTTGCTGTTGCCGTGTCTGCGATAAAAACGAAGCACAGAAAAGGGCCGGCGATGTGGTTAGCAAGAATGTAGTCTAGTAAAGAACGGTAACAAAAGCAATGTTGAGCTGCAGGGCTGACGAGCTGTTTGTCTACCGATCAAACCGGCCGATTGAGTAGACGTGATGACAGGCGGAATAAAGTCGAATTGAGTAGAAAGTGTGAAGGGAAAATCTCGGGCGTGCAGGGAACTCAGTTTTAAATGGGCCAGCCAACGCCAATAGAAATACATAGCAGGACCAGCCTATTCTGCATTCAATTTTTATTGAAAATTATTACTCAACCAGCGACTCGCACACTCATGCGAACATACCAAGCCGCACCAACACTCAAAGCACATTTTCTCACCATATTTCAAACAATAGTAAATGCTCATAAAATTCCTTTTAAGCTGTAAAATCATCATCAAAATACTAGTGCCCTGTCTCCCACCCTCGGCTTACCTGCTGCCGTCAGCAACAACAGTTCGGCTCTTTGTTTTGTGGCAACGTTTTTGTGTCTGTGGCATGTTGCAAGCATCGCCTATTTTACAACAAGCAAACATAAGTATGTACATATGTACCGCTCGAGTGAGTGTGGAGATATGTGTGTTGTGGCATCAGCTGTTCGAGTTAACTAACTACGTTCGGCTTTCAATAAAGCGCTGGCCCCATATTGCACCACAGCCGACCAAGTGTGAGGGTGTGCGCGGCAGCCAGGCATTTGATGCACACGTACAAACAATAAACGATCCATACGATCGCGCAGCAACGATATTGTTCAAGTCACGACTTTTTTCCAAGCCGCAGTTTCGTTGCGCCTTTTTACTTCCTTGCCACAGCAAATACACCTCAGCGGCCAAGCAGCCAAGCAGCCAGCGATCGCCGCAGCCAGCCAGGCAGCCAAGCACCCTGGACGTCAGGCTGTTTTGTGTTTTTGTTTTTATCTTCTCGTTTCATTTTTCTTGCTCTGCTGCACTTTTGCGCAATATCGCACTGATACGTGCAGCGCTCACTGCCCATATGCGCCCGTATCTCAGCAGCATCTGGAGCTTTGCGCACTCACGCCGCATGCGGTGCTAGCCAGGCCTATTGATGAAGATACCCAGCCGAAGATGAAGATACAGCGCAAAAGAGATCTGCCCTCCGAATAGGCTGAAGGAAGAGGCTGAAGGACGCGCAGGCGAGCTTTGATTTGTGTAGCAGTATGTAATTTTGCTGGCATTAAGCAGCAGATGTGCGGACTAGTTTCTGGATTTCGGCGACTCATTTTCGCACTATAAATCAGCAGATCAATGGAAGACAGCCAAATCAGTTGATGATCTTCATACGACGCTTATCGTAGCGTAGGTGACGCGTGAGAATTGTGAGCGCAGTTACAACTCAATGCCGTGAAACCTTTTCAATGCTCCAAGTACGCAGCTTCCAATAACTTGGACTGGTTTTGGTAGCCCACATCGCCGAGGTCATGCCTGGTTGCCGAGAAACTTCGATCGATATGTTTACCATAGATTTTTACCAGCTCGCACACCCACATTTTCCCAGTTATGTAAATAAATATACGCCCGCATTTTGATGTGTACATGTGTTTGCACTGCCGTGCTCGCTGCCGGCCTGCCTCCGCCATGCCGGGTGGGGTATCAATAACCGCAAAAGGGTGGACCCACGAAATATGTAATGGAGAAACAATTTCGAGCGCGTCCGTCCATCCGTCCCTCCGTCCGTTTATTGAACGGCAGACATGGAAAAGGCTAAAACATGATTTAACGTTTTTATCGCAGCCTGGCTTGGCATTGCAGCAATTGTTTCTGTTTACATTGTTATTGTTGTTGCTGTTATTGCTGTTTCACTGTTATTGCATTTTGAGGGCTGCAACGGCGATTTGTTTATGGACGCGCTTATAAAATGCTGCCGCTTACAACCATATTTGTATTGTATTGTATTTGGCGTTGCTGCAGTGTTGTTGTTGTTGTTGTCGTTGTTGCTGATGCGTTGCACAGTTTGTTCCTCTTGCTGTTGGACGCATCGTTCGCTGTGTTTTGTAGTGTGTGCGCGTGTTGCGTTTCTTTTAGCCGAGTTTAAGCTGGTCAACTGGTCGGTCGGCTGTGACTTTTCATTTCGACGCTATCCAGTTTGATGTGGTTGGTGTTGTTCTATGGCTGCTGCCGCAGTAACTCCACCACTTTTTTATATTTCCAATTGTTTTTTTTCGATTTCGCTTCGCTTTGTTTTGATTCACCGTTTCTCGTCATCCAACTTCTTCGTCTTCTTGTTGGTGGTGTTGTTGTGCGCGCACGCGCATTCGCTTGCTCACTTTGCTATTGGGGCGTGGGGGTTTTTTCCTCATATTTTTGGCAATGCACTGAGCCCTTACTATTGTGGAGTTGTTTGCCAGCTCGCCAGTTGCCACACTCTCCCATGCACACCAAACAGTCACTTACTAAAACTGGTTGCCGGCCAATGCTGCCGTTGCTTCTTGGCGCATCTCGCCCACCAGCGGCAGCACGTTCGCCTCTTTGGCCTGGGAATTTTCTGGCGTGCTTGGCATAAATAGAACATTTCAAGTGTTTTTATTGTTGTTTTTAAGTCGGTTGCCGTTTTAACCGAAAGATGCTGCAAGTACACGGACGGTTTGCCGCCTCGCTTGGCGCACTTAATGTAGTCATATTACGCTTTCGACCAGGCCAAGCGTCTACCTGCAAACAATATCAATTGCGGTCCTATTATGCAATTTCTATGAATTATTTGCAGATTGAATGTTGCCTGGCTCATGCATGTATGTATGTATGTATGGATGCTTAACCACCCAGCAGATAAACTGCCGAGCCTGTAAGTTAATTTTCGTTTTGTCGACGATGGGTTTTTCGACACATTTTTCTTGTCAGGAAAAGACTCGGAAACCGATTCCAATGCTATTCAAAATGAACATGTCGCACCCTAAATCGAGAAACTAAAAATTTTTCAAAATCGATTTTATCCCATAAAAGACTTCACGGACCCTACTTCTACCGCCCTCCAAAATTTATTCTCATTATTATCTTCTTTACCTGGAAAACACTACCAAGACTGTTTTTGTTTTGCTTGCGTTGCGTGCATCGCTTGCAAAGTTTTTTGGTGTTTCCTGAAGTTTTTTCCATTTGAAGTTTTTTGAGTTGTGAAGGGGTTTGATTTAGGATGCGATCTGATCCGGCTGTAGCTGAGCGTTCAAAGGTTTTTGGTATTTTTATTCTATTCGGTAAGTTTCAGAAGATCTCAGGTTCAGTTATCATCTGAGGTAACATATTAATAATACATACATACGATATGTATTACTGAAATAATTGTTATTTATTTATTTATTTCAATAATGGTACTGATCTAACTCAACAATCCGGTGATTTTACATTCAAGTGTTAAATGTTATGATTAAATGGTTAAACTTATTATTTTGTTGTTATTGTTGTTGCATCGGCTTCTTAGTCCTACCGCTGGGTTAAGCCATATGGATAGGGGTGTTAGTCTCGAGTTGTGGAGTGACTCTTCGCTTACTGGGCACTGGTTGATCGCATCTGCATCTGACCTGCTTAGTTAAGAATTTAGCCTCTTCCAGTAAGCAGTATTTTCTATGTTTCCCAACTCTGAACAAGCATCTGCGAAGTGCAGAATAAAATCGAATTCTAACAAAGAAATTAATCCGAAAAACAACGTAAAGCACATATCTGAATACTTAGCACTTTCTTTCCCTTTCTGCACAGTGCGCAGACGTGTCCGAAAAACTTTTAGAAATTGAATCAGTAAATGAATTGATCATCCGGATTTTAGCCGCAATTCTGTCCATTTTCGAACAGGTTTAGGGTTATTTTGCTGACTGGGAGGCGAGTCACAGAGGATGCGCATACTTGCATACAAAGTGAATGCATATTGAAGCCGTTTATAAAAGGTCGATATTGAGCTCCGTATTTAAACGAAAAATATTCATTTTCTTAGTATTATCTCAAAAGATCTGTGGACGTTTTTAAGAATCGAGTACTTACAACATTCGGTATCNGAGTGAATGCATATTGAAGCCGTTTATAAAAGGTCGATATTGAGCTCCGTATTTAAACGAAAAATATTCATTTTCTTAGTATTATCTCAAAGATCTGTGGACGTTTTTAAGAATCGAGTACTTACAACATTCGGTATCGATGCGGCCCGTACACTAGAATTAAATAATTGATATCGCTTTTTGACTCGCTCACAGCGCTCTGTGCTAACCCTTAGGGAATTGAGAAGTCACCTAACTTAGTTTCTCAAGTCTATGCGCTGGGTTTCTAAGTTAAATAAAACTATAAATTCAAGAAAGTAGTACACTTTGAAAAGAACTGTTTTTGCTGGCCTAAACAATTGAGTTGTTGCGTCTTGAGTTACATACTCGCTGATGGAAGGCAAACACCAAAGGTGGGAGCGGGCAGCTCGTTGTATTTGAAAAGTGTTTGATTACACGCTGCACTGATTGCAGTGCATTTCTTGGATTTTGCGCAAAGCTTTGCTCATTTGCCACGCTGGCTTATGGCTAATGGCTGCCAGGAAACCACAAAAGCGCTCAGGCACACAAACACTCAGGTACACACACACAAAAATGGAAGCGCGTATGCACACATAATGCTCGTCATTTTTTCCTTTACATTTGCTTAATCGTCTTTCGTTTTCTCAACTTTACTTTGCCCACAACGTCTAAATCCTTGAGTAACTCTCAGCAAAATGGCTGGTGGAAAGGAAGGACGATTTGTGTCTCATTTTTCAAGGCGTTTTTCTGCAGTTTTGTTCGATTTTTGTTGCAATGCCTTAAGCGGCTTGGAGCGAAAATTGTAGAGCTTCCACTAAATGCAATTCACATGCACATTTTGAGCTTAAAAGGCAGACGGAGGACTTTTCCTGCAATAATCTCTCGCGCGGTCCGTAAATCCGTTGTGTACGTGCATGTGTGTGTGTGTGTGTGTGGGGGTGTATGTGTAGTGAGAGTAAGCCGCTTGTGCCGTCTGACACAGGTGAACTCAATGGCTGATTTTTGCCCTCTCTTGCACTTCTTTTTTGGCTTTGCTTTTGCAATCAGATATTTTTGGGACTAAGCCAAAAAAAACAAAACAGAGTAAAATTTGTTTATGGGAGTTTTTGTTTTCTCCGCTAGCCTTGCTTTCAGCGAGCATTTTGAATATTGATTTTTGCTGGATTTTTGTGGGCTTTCCTCTAATTTTTCTACATATTTCTTTCAGGCTGCAAATCNAAAAACAGAGTAAAATTTGTTTATGGGAGTTTTTGTTTTCTCCGCTAGCCTTGCTTTCAGCGAGCATTTTGAATATTGATTTTTGCTGGATTATTGTGGGCTTTCCTCTAATTTTTCTACATATTTCTTTCAGGCTGCAAATCGTTCTTCAAGCGCTCGGTGCGGCGCAACCTAACTTACTCATGTCGGGGGAGCAGGAATTGCCCGATCGATCAACATCATCGCAACCAATGCCAATATTGCCGTTTAAGAAAGTGCCTGAAAATGGGAATGCGACGAGAAGGTAAGCGAGAAAAATTTTTACCTTTCTTTAATTGTATTATACATACATACATACATATTTACATGTACAATATATGTATGTATGTATGTGCAATATTTGTTGATTGTTGTGAATAATTGAAAATTAATGTGTGCAGAATTTGAAATTTCTATATACACGTACAAACGTACAAAGCTTCCGCTCAACTATTAAATAAGAATGACAAAGCAGCAACAAATCAACAACATTCGGTTGAAAAGGGTCAATTAAAAGTCAAATATAGAGGCTGAGGCTGAGTGAGCGCCCAAATGACTGAATGATTAAATGAAATCGAAGCGAATTTAGCTACAAATGTTCGTGCCAAATGATTGCTCGAGAGGAAAAAATGCTCTCGTTAGAAATAAGAGTGTCTGTGCAGAATCGGAGAAGAGGAGATCAAAAACACATCGCATCGAAACGGAAGTGTGCGCTCCTCAGAATAATAAAATAAACAAAGCAATTAAAAATAAAATAAATTTTATTCGAAGCTCGAGAACCTTTGCAATGTCGAGGCATCTGTGCACCGTCGGCGGCTACATTCTATGCGGTTCAGTGGTGACACTAGTCACTCGCAAATGACCGACAGACAGGGTTTCGTTGGGTATTCAATAGGTGACAAGTACTACACTGCCACAGCCGCATGTAGCCGAGCCAACAGGTCTGATCTTCAAAGAACCTAAGCTAAATATAGATGGCGAAAAATAGCAGCAGCCATTAACGTCTAGATTGGTTTTGCCGAAATACTTTGCACGCCAGCATGCGGCTATACATATATACACACATACATATACGCAAAAATATATACCAAAGCAAATATTGGCGTTAACTATTTTCTGCGCGAATTCACTTTAAAAAACTTGCAAGGACTTTCAATAGGCGCATAAAGGATAAGAGGATGCGCGTTTGGGGAAGCGTAAGCGCCTAAGCCGCTTATGCAAAACAATTACGTACATATGTATATACATATGCTCGTACCTTTGAGTGTGGCAAAGTTCTATGGTGAGAAGCATTGCCTTTTCTGCTGTGCCAAGTGGTAGCTCTTTACTGCAAGAAAATGTTGCCGGTTGCATTGCTCCGTAAAAGAAAAGTTACAAGTAATATAACCTTTCTAAATTTTTTCGATTTCAGTCACATATCACACATTTGCTGCAAGTGTGTCATAATCCAAAAAATCAAAAATCCGCGAAAAACGGCTTTGAAGATATGAATCTATCTGTTTTCTGTAATTCTTTGACTAATAACAATTATATTCAACAATTTTATTGACCTTGAGGCCGTTTTTAATGAAAATGTTTGTGGAAAAAAACAAAAATTTACATTTGGGTAGAAGTTTTGAATTTACATCCATACATATAGCATTGGTAATCGGTGCAAATATGCAATTTTTACACATTTTCTGCATACTTAGCTAAATTTTTAATTTTTTGGATTATGCCACTCTTACCTACAGCAAATGTGCGCTATGTATTTACTACGCTTTTTGCTATTTTCTGCCACCTTTCCATTAGCCGCCAAATTTCCAATTCATGTTTATGAAGAAATTCCATTCCAGTCATCTTTTCTACTGTTGAACACAGGCCCTTTGATACAGAACAAGTCCCCCCCTTCTAATCCAAGAATAGTAAATCCTAGTTGAACTGCAAGTAGGCATTTTAAATATTTTCAAAGCAACACTTTTTTCTATATTTTAATTTTGTTGAGGAATTTTGTTAAGAAATATGCGAACTGCATGGTTTCAGAAAAGCCGCCTTTACTCCACAACTTCGACGAGAACAAGGTAATTTCGAAAAGAAAAAAACACTTTTTGTAAGCCTCTACGTTCTGTATTCCAAAAATCCGCATAAAAACGAATGTTTTTGCTCTTTGGGCAGCCGCTGCTTTGCGCTTTAGCAATTTGGGCCAGCAATGCGCACAAGAATTTAGTTATAATAAAGAGTTTAATTGATACAGTGCTTTTAACTATCGATAAATCCACTCAAAAACCAATGAAATTTGTAACAAAATGTGCATTTAGCCAAGTTGTTAAATTCAATTCTAGAATCATTACATCAAATGCACAGCGAGGCTCAACTAAACAGATACCACCTGGCCGAAAATTACAACAAAAAGCAGACAATCGCTTGCGACCACTTCATCTCGCGCATAGTTTTTGCTCAAATGTAACAAATTAATCGCACTAACTTGCGCAAAAACTCCGGCATGCCGTTATGTACATATGTATGTTAAGTATAGTATGTATGTAATTTTTAATCTGCGATTGTGCATAAAAAACGCATACATATGTAGATATGTACATGCAATTACGAGATATTTCTGTAATGTCCATAAAAAAATGCAACATTTCAATGAAGCTGCACATAGCCGATTCACGCAGAGTAGTGCTAATTCGGAGCTTTTATGTACATGCATAAGTATATCTATGTACATATGTATGTATGTATCTATGATCATGTTTAGTATGAACAATTGTATGTATCTATGTATGTAGCTACTTGATGGTTCTAACTTTTGTCACGCTTCCGTTTGAATTGCAGCGCATTTTTTGGCGTGCAGCTGTTGTAGAGAAGAAACATAAAATACTACGATCTGCGGGTGTCGTAATTAACCATCATAAAAGTGGAGAAACACTAGTGTACCCATCCAGCACCAGAAACCCCGTAAGAAAGCTGGTACAGTTAGTTTCTTCCGGAAACACCTATTCCGATCAGTCGATCTAAGTATATATGTATGTTTTTTTTTGCGATTAGGAAGCATCGAACTAAACCTCCTAACGTCCAAGTACCGATCACCCCGGCACAACCGTCAAGTATTTCGCCGGGAGGCGGTTTGAATAATAGGCCTGCACCTTCGTTCCAGTCGGTTGTACTGAGTTCCAGGCTACACCTACATATTTAGTAGGATTTTTCACGTCTTATTTAAAGAGAAATGCTGGAATTGCATTGAGCAGACTTACCGAAGAAACGAGTTTTAAGTCGTTTACGTATTTACAAATTGTTACGTTATTTAAATAAGCTTAAAATTGGCAAAATTTGCATTCAGGTGCCCTAATTCCGATGTTTATATAACATTCTAATAATTTAAAGCATTTTCTTCGGAGTATGCTTAAAGTGTTCTTAGATATTGGGTGTAGTTCTGTTGCTATTGAAATCAGGTGATCTCAGTCGCGAGGTATTTTTGGGAAACCACTGAATCTTTATTCTCTTGTGATACAAGGATTCAAGAAAGCGAAAAAAACGAGACCCAAAATTATCAATAAATGCTGACCTGTGGAATTTTTTTTTTCGGTCAAGCTTCACAGCAACAACAGCTGCTTCTTGTCAATCAACTGCCTGCGTTAGCCGGAGCTGCCACCTGTTGTTACCTGCTGTCGCAATCGTTGTCAACTGACAGCGGGAATTGCAAAATCAATTATGAAATAAATACATCAATTTGCGTGCAAGTGTGACGGAGTTCAATGTTTGTGCAAAAACTTGAGAAACGAACAAACTGGAATTCCTAAATTCCATGCCGATTCATAATTAATACGGCAATGCGTTTGTCCCATAGGCTTAGTGCTGTTTAATTTCTACTCAAAACGCGAAACAATTAATTTTTGTTAGATTAGCTGCTTAGTTTTGACGCGGAATTCAGCCGTCAGCTGTCACTCCGATGCCTACATTGTTTGACAATTGTGTTGTCACATTTGACAGCCAAGCAACTTACTCTGCCGCTGACGGTAAAAATTCATAGATAGATACATATGTATGTGCATATGTACGTATGTGCTACAACTGTAAATATTGCACACATTAATGTGTAAATATTTAGGTATCTGCATTGCCATTGGCATTCATACGAGCCGCTCAACGTGCTTTTAATACTTACGAGTAATTGTTTGCCATTAAAAGTCAACGTGGTGCCTTATTATGACTTTTTTTGTTTTCAAAATTCCCATTTTCGCCTCGACAGCGCTGTGCTAATATTAACAATTTTCTTTTGCATGTATTGGTTATTAATTTTCGTTTGCTTCCTAAACACAAAACATCAACGTGAACGAGTTATGTAAGTGCGAGCAGCAGTTTGGCTCTAAACTCGCTTACTTTGGCGACGTCACCATGGCTTAGTGAATTTGTCTAATCGACCAGCATCGAAAGCAGTCAGTTTTGCTTTGGCAGTGGCCCACAGTAATTAGCCAGCTGTCATTGTCTATCGCAGCCTTTGTCAATCAAATACACTGGGAAAAGGAATAAAGACAATATCAGACAAAATCAGACAAATGCGGACATGACGAAAATGCGTAAGCGAATAATTTTAAAGTTAAATGAGAAACCTGTGGTGGAAAAAGCTCAGCAAGTCCTCGAAGTCAAGCTCAAGTTCGCATACTAAATATGTTTATGATTCAAAAAACAATACAACGGATTGCGATTGGCTACAGCTAGCTGGCCAATAAATCTAGAAATAAATCCAGTTGAGAAGGATATTCATTCATACGTATGTATACAGCTTTCAGCTTTTGGTCTCGACGGAAAGTAACTTGCTGATACACTAAGGGCCGGTTGTTCAATGTATGATTAGCACTAATCGGAGGTAGAAGCTCCGGTTAAGCACAACTACTGCTTTATCGATCACATGTTACATGCATGATGTCGAAATCGTCGATAGTGTAGTGGTAGTGATAACCAGACATTGAACAACCGGCCCTAATAGTTAACACTAATTTCCGGTTAAACATTGTTATCGACGTATTCGACTCCATACATATAACAGGGAGTCGGTAACGTCGATAACGATGTTTAACCAGAGATTAGCGTTAACCAGACATTGAGTAACCGGCCCTAAATCGGATTATTTCGAATCAAATAGAAATTTTTACATCTCCCGATTACCACAAGTTGCACATTTTCTCTAAGCTGGGATTTACCATAAACAATTCAGTTGAGTTTATTTTTCGCTCAGTGCCTGTTCGATCGTCGACAATTGGTGTCAAATTCGGAATTATTGCAATCGTTGGTTAACATTTACTCAAATATTTACAAGAGCTTTTAAAAATGTTGAATTAGCTGCAGCCAAATCTGTTGTAATTATGAAGCTAGTTGGAACGCTTAAAATACCTGTTCCAAAGGCAATAATTAATAGATGTGCCATTCCAAGCACATATGCAGATAAAAACATGCTTTAATATTTGTAGATTACATATTTGCCACATAATGTATGTATGAATGCTACGGTTGCCAGACGTACTGATTTTATCAGTACAGTACTGATTTTTCAACTCTCGTACTGATTTTATTCGTTTCTTCAATCAGTACGCTGATATCCTGATTTTTTTTTAAATTTGTACTGATTTTTACTGAATTTGCAATTATGAGAATATGAATGTATCGGTGGCTGAGTGGATTGCCACCTATCTCAGCAACCAGTTCGACAACACCCTATCTCAGAAAATTTCTTAACAACGCTATATCTCAGAAAACTTTTCATAAACGCCTTACTTCAGAACTTGATTGAAAGGCGCCCTATGTCAGAATTTGGTTAAAGAATGCCCTATCTCAGCTACCTATTCAAAAGCACCCCATCTCAGCTTATTTTCAATGCATTTTCGTTTGAGATAGGGCGTTTTTGAAACGAATTGTGAGATAGGATGTTTTACAATCAAACTCTGAAGTAGGGCGTTCTTGAAAAGTTTTATGAGATATGGCGTTTTTGAACTGGCTGCCGAGATGGTAGTTATCTCGAAAATAACTTTCAATTTGCCTACAACATACAATTATTTTTTCTCAATTTACTGACGTTGTAAAAGAGTTTTGCTTACAAGACATCGAGTTAGATACTCTGTTTAGCGAATTCTTAGCCTTTCGAAGTTTTTTTGCGCAGTTGAAACAAGTAGATAATTTATACCATGAGGAAATATGGAGAACTCTTTAAATAGTGGCGCGTTTCGCAGTTTGAAAACACATACAATTTAGTTCTTCTCAATACTATACTCAAACGATGTAACTGAGAGGATTTTAAGTATAACGCTTGCTTCCTGGCGCAAAGCGAGAAACTGACTTCTAATTAAAATTTCTGAAATTGAACTCCAAATTAAAAGTAATTTTAAAATGTGTTGTAAAGAATTCTTTGGCTATTCAAATATGTCATGCATATTAAATATTAATAAACTATTAAAATTAATTACTTTAATTAAGTTTTTATGATATACTTTTTATTTATATATACAAATATTGTTAAAAAAAAATTAAAGTATTTTCTGTTACATAAGAATGTACATACATTCAAAATGTTGCTTTGAATAAAAGTCGACTGAAAAGTACTGACTTTTATAGCATGAAAAAGTCGAATGGCGTTTCTACAAAATATTTGGCCTTCTCATTGCCCTCTTCTTAGCAGGTATTTGTGCGTAGAGGGCAAAGAGAAGGTAACATTTTTCGTTAGAAACGAAAACGCCATAAGGTACTGATTTGGCGCAAAAAAAAATCTGGCAACCCTAATGTATGCGCATATGTACTTAAACCAATTTGGGTTACAATCGATAGTAATTTGTTGGGTACCCAAGCGCGGCACTGAATGACAGGAATGTTAACTCAAACTGAGCAGCCGTGTGGCCAAGCAGCCAAGTCGCGGCGTTGTAATTAAGCCACAGTAATTGTTGTTAAAAATCATTTAAATATACACACATACACGCACACCTCCTTAACTTCGTAGTTAAACATGCTATAAAAAATGTTGTACATTAAAAGCCAACTATTGATGCTATAGCATAGATGCGGTTAGGACATACGCAATTTATCGCATACATATATTTCTAGTAGCTGGGTAAATATTATTTCCTACATGAGTGTACATGTGCATGTACATTAGACTGCATCACTCGCCATACAAAAAAAAAAATATAAAAAATCGGTACTATTATCCTGTTAATCTATTATATTTTAAGACCTACACCAAAATATTTCGGAAAAGTATTAAGATTTACGTGAGCTGGACCGATTTGGAAATACCTCCAAAAATTTAGTTTTTGATGAATAAAAATAGTTTTTTCAAAGTATTTTTTGAAAAAAATCACCTCAGATGCCAAATCAGTTTAAGCTTAAAAAATTGCATAAAAACATAAAAAAAAACAGACTTTGTTGCTTTTTCAATTTTTCCTAATAAACAATCGTGGTACAAAGCTCAATAAAAATATTAAAAAAAAAATAAAAAAAAAACATTTCAACGGAATCATAATGAGACTTTGATGCCGTTTTTGAACATTTATCAAAGATTGGATTAAGAAAAAATTTAATAAGTCAGCCAAAACCTTACCGATTTGAACATGTAATGTATCATTGGAAAGGTGTTTTCTCACCCTTTTTGCACATATCTAAGTATGAAAAAGAAAGGTAAGATAAACGAGCGTAATTCCAAGTTGAATTAAGATGTGTTGATATTTGAAAAGGGAAAATTAGGTACGTGAATGAGTTTTTTTGTAAAGAAAAGGAAAGGGTGATGGTTATGACTCCGTTGAAAGATTTTTTTTTTAATTTTTATGCAGATTTTTTAAGCTTGAACCGTTTGGTCACCTGAGGGGATTTTCAAAAAAATCCTTTAAGAAACAATTTTTATTCATAAAAAACTTCATTTTTTTTGAAGGAATTTTCAAATCATTCCAGCTCACGTAAATATTAATATTTTCCGAAATATTTTCGTGGAAGTCTTCAAATATAATAAATTTTGTAATCCCAGCGAAAAAAACGAAATTTTTTTGGTGATGCACTCTAATGTACATACATATGTATGCAAGCATTTGTAGTTGTGTGTGTGCGTTTTAAATGGCTAGCTGAGAAATATGACCACTTAAGTGGTCATATAAACCGCATTAATGACATATTACTGCCAAGTGCTTGGCTCGTTGTGCTTGCCATTCGCAATTTTCGCCTGCTTGCGGCGTAGTTGTTGCTGTTGTTGTTGTTGTTGTTGCTTTTACAATACCTGTTAAGGTGTCATGTAAACTTTGTACCGGCGCGACCACGTTTTGGCACTGACATTCGAAATGGTCGAATGTCAAAAGTGTTTAAGAAAAGAGTTCAACACCTTTTCCACCACTCAGCTGTTTCTCATCAGAAAATCTGGTCGTTTTTTTTTTCTTTATTTGAAATTTTGAGAAAATAGGTAGTTTAACGTGCATTAATTCATCATTACATATCCATATGTATGTTTGTACGTATGTATNTGGACTAAAAAACTGGTTCAACACCGATTCGGTTGTCCTCTGGCCTTCGTATCGCTGGTGAAATATCGTGAGAACGTTTCCAACAAATTGAAATGACAACATTTTTCGGCATAAAACACCCTTTTATCAAAGCGTAAAAACAACTTATCAAAAGCTCAAAGCAAGAAATGTACTTTTCTCTTAAAAAAACTAGAAAAAAAAAATACGTAACAAATGGAAAGCAAGAGGGGAAAAACTGGACAGAGGGCAAGTTTTTGGCGACCCAATGTGAGAAACGGTCAACAAGTTTAAGGTTCAGCGCCGAAGTTGCTTCGGTGGTAGGTTAATATAATTAAATTGTTGTGTCAATTGTTGCAACGAAAGACTGGCGCACATATATACGCACATACACACACTTGCAGAATTTGCAGGTATGCGCAAAGAATCATAAGTACGGAGGAAAATGTACAACTACAAGATACAAAAAGGTACGCGTTGCAAGCAAAACTAGTTCGACACAACAAAAAAAAAAAACAAAAAAAAACACAAGTAATACACATAAAAACAACTTGTTGTGCCATCGTTTACATTTTACGTAGATTTTTGTCAAGAAATTTATTTAGCGGAAAATCCGTACACATATTTTAAGCATTTTTGATGACAACTCTTACAGCCAGTTTCACCAAATTATTTAAGTGAAAATTTTCGAATTTTCGGTTTCATCAATCAATTTTAATTTTGATTTAAGTGACCTATGTTAAATAAAAGTTAAATCAGAACAACCACACTCAGAGGTGTCACACGTTTAATNAAAGTTGCTTCGGTGGTAGGTTAATATAATTAAATTGTTGTGTCAATTGTTGCAACTAAAGACTGGCGCACATATTTACACACATACACACACTTGCAAAATGTGCAGGTATGCGCAAACAATCATAAGTACGGAGGAAAATGTACAACTACAAGATACAAAAAGGTACGCATTGCAAGCAAAACTAGTTCGACACAATAAAAAAAAAAAACAAAAAAAAACACAAGTAATACACATAAAAACAACTTGTTGTGCCATCGTTTACATTTTACGTAGATTTTTGTCAAGAAATTTATTTAGCGGAAAATCCGTTCACATATTTTAAGTATTTTTGATGACAACTCTTAGTAAATATTAGAAAGCTTATGGGGCATTGATACGAAGCATATGTGTTTGTATGTATGTATGTATGTAGCTGTGAAACGTTACGCCTTCTAAGCCTAAAAACATTTGTACAACCCAAGGTACATTGAACAGGTAGTATCAGTAGAGCAGCTGATTTGATTTATTTTCAAATTATTTGGTCTCGAAAATGTCAAATATTTTTAATTTTTTCTCACAAAAATTCTGAATTGTTAAAATCCATTTGCATGTGAAACCTTTTTCCATACAAAACAAGCGATTGAATAGCAGCTTTTGGAACGTTCGCCCAANTAAATATTAGAAAGCTTATGGGGCATTGATACGAAGCATGTGTGTTTGTATGTATGTATGTAGCTGTGAAGCGTTACGCCTCTAAGCCTAAAAGTATTTGTACAACCTCAACATATCAGATGCTGTAATTGGTGTTTGAAAGAAAACAAAAAAACAAAAAAACACTGCGCGCACTTCAGCAACTCCAAATTAATTTATGTAATCAAACACTTCAACACGCTCTTTAATAACCAAAATGCCACTCGAAGTTCTCCCGTCGTCATCGTTTGTATATCGCAGAAGTGCTCGAGTAGCTGCTACTTGACATCGCAATTTATCGCATGTCACGCATCCATGACCCTGCTGCGGAGGAGGCCAGCAGCCAGCAACAAAGCAGCGAAGATGAAGCAATGACAAGGACTTGAACACGTGCCGAACGCGGCAAGAATTCGATAAGTATGAGTGTAGATGGGCTAAAATTAAGCGGACGGGATAGTACGAATTAAAAAAAAAGAAAAGTGAACAATCACAAAAGAGGCCATAAAATAGCTGACTGAAAGCGTAGAGCGATCGGTGCGCTTGACGCTTATGCGGGTTTAAGAAATGCATAACTTGTCGGTATGTATGAAATGTAGTATGGCTGCTGCTTAGCAACAACTTACTGACTGATATATTTTATGCAAAAATTTTCGTCACTGCAGTCTGTTCTTTACGCCAGGAAATTGGTCGCCNGCCCTTGTAAAGGATGGATCAATGCTTCGAGAAGCAAACAAATTTACTAGGAAAGAAAGTTGCAACAATTTTTATTTTTTCCAATTTCAATTTTTTATTTTTTATAATTTTTTGTATTTCACATGGCACGCTTTGATTTAGAAGAAAAAATTCAGAACAGTTTTTGACACTTTCGATACCAGAAGCAACAACAAA